CCTTCAGTGTCGCTGCAACAAGCTTGTGGTCTTTGTGATGAAAGAAGTTTCCAAACGAGAAAACACCTGAATTACTTGCACGAAAAGCTTCTTCAAAGGCGACTGCGTGCAGCAAGTGTAGAATGAAAGAGAGATGTAAAGTATCCATAGTAAACTTGGACACCGAAAAAACTGACAACATCGAAAAGACTGAAAGTTAGCCTGCGTGCAGACCGAATTTAAAGGAGAGCTTTAGATAAATAATTGATCAAAATTTTGTTCCAAGCCTCGTATTGTTGTTTAATAATGACAACGTTTTGATGACAATTACGAACCCCTTAAGTAGATCTTCTTGATTTTATCAAATCCCCCTATTAAATAGAAGCAAGAAATTATGACGCCGCTTGAAAATTCGATGTAACATCGCGCTTTAGAAACATTGCCATTGAATAGATCCCCTGAGGTTTTCACATATCTATTTCTAAGTATTGCGGACGAGCCTTACGAAGAATCAGCATCAAATCTTAAAAACTCATCGAATAAATGTTTTTTTTACTAATTGTCGTTGTAAAAAACAATATAACCGTGAAACTTTAGTAATACTAAATAGCACAATTTCATGCAAATTCCATTGTTTCCTATTGTTTAATTAGCACTATTTTGTACTATTTAGTAATTAGTGTTTCACGGATTGGAGTGCAAACAATAGAGTGCACGCACTAAACCCGTGAAACAAATACTAACTTTTAGTACTAAATGGTGATAAATAAACAATAGAAAACAAAGGATTCTGTATGAAATAATACTAATTAGTACTAATTAATGTTCATGGATTTAGTGCGTGCACTCTATAACCGTGAAACTTTAGTAATACTAAATAGCACAATTTCATGCAAATTCCATCGTTTTCTATTGTTTAATTAGCACTATTTTGCACTATTTTGATAGTCATTTTACTCGCTTTTTTCTTGAAAATCAAGTCTGGGTTTTTTGGAGTCTTTCTACCGCGCACCTGTCATGCCCTCGCATTGAATGGTAGAGGATCGATCAAAGAGTAAAAAAGACACAAAAGAATGGAACCCTTCGTTATCATTTGGGGCAGCTAATAAGAATATCTTCACGGATGGAATTAATTCAAACGGCAGACATGACAAGGTGTTCATGGTTTCTTTGCATTTCACTTTCCCTTTTGTAAATTATATCTTCTCACCAAAGTCRAGTTTCGTTTTATTCATGTTAGAGGATCGCTTACGAAAGGCTACAAGATCGACTCTCTTTATTCCATTTTCTACTTCTTTTAAACAAGACGCTCTAAGAGCGTAAACTGGGTTGCCCACCTGTCGTGTGCATATTAAGGCTCAAAGCTAGACAACTTGTGCAAAGGCTTACCAAAAGATATAAAAAGGATCTTTTTATCTCGTAATACAATGACTATATTTATAGATTCATACTTAAAGAATATAATGACAATCCCGTCAAACACGCATCATGCTCCTTTAGATTATTAAAATATTACCTTAAGTTACACTGTTTTTGATATCTATTCTTCAGAACTTTACCAACATTAACAATGAATATGATAAGCTAGAATATACGATATTCGTGTCTGTTGTATACGACATTTATCAAGCTAGACTTGGGTTTCTGCATTGTAACTAGACGATAAAATGAAGGACTAAGGTCCCACTTGGACAGCGTTACGCTTTTAAAAAAAAGGTGGTCATGTTTTTGTTAATTTGCTTGTGTGATTAATATTTTTTTACGAGAGAAGTAAATGGTTCTGAAGGTAAAAAGTGGTGTGGTTAAAACCTGACCAATAACTAAATGACTATATCACGTGGTCATCATAAGTACATAGTCATATCACGTGATCATCGTGTGTACATAGTCATATCACGTGATCATCGTATGTATTTGGTCATCATATCACGTGATCATCGTATGTACATAGTCATATCATGTGATCATCGTGTGTATATATAGTCATCATATCACGTGATCATCGTATGTATATAGTCATATCACGTGATCATCGTGTGTATATAGTCATCATATCACGTGATCATCGTATGTATATAGTCATCATATCACGTGATCATTGTATGTATATAGTCATCATATCACGTGATCATTGTATGTATATAGTCATATCACGTGATCATCGTGTGTATATAGCCATCATGTCAGCCACGGACGTTGCATCTGTTAAAATAAAAAAGTGCTTTAGTTGTCGTTAGACGAATATAAGGCTGTTCTTTACTGTTGAGTACTCTCACCTTTGTTTGACCACTGTACGCGGCTGTTGGTTGGAGAGTATAATACCGAGAAGTGCTGAAGATGGTTTTCCCAGGTGCATCCTC